ATTTTAAGATTTGTTGAGTATGGTTAGTATCTAACAGGTGTTGTTTCTATGTGATTGCTATCTCCTCCACAGGTTAAGGGAGTAGGAGCAATAGTTTACATATTTTGGAACCAATCATCATTTGCACATTTTGTTTCAAGCAGCTGCAATAATGCACCTTTTGAGCAAGCTCGTCAGTCCATTTGATTGGGTAGCAGCTTCCAAGGTCCCAACACAAGAGCTAGGAATATTCCAAGCACAGTTTGAATAAACTGAAGACATTTTGATCATGGCGGAGGATTGAAGACATTTTGATAATGACGGAGGATAAAGTGACGATATGAGTAAATACGATTTTGTATTAGTTAGTGTGAGATACCAAGCACTCACACATTGTTGTTATTTAATGTAGTATTTGAAAAGGTTGTTATGTCAAACACAGTTTGAGACAAAATACATGTGTGGGATATAAGAATATTTCCTCATGACTTTATCTACGTGTTGATTTTGTATGACAGTTGAGCACAATCAGAAGCATCTAAAGAAATCATGAAATATAGCACAATTTAGTAATACACAATCTAAGAAATAATGTTACATAAACTCTAAAACATCGTTGCACTTGAAAAAAATTGATACATAAACCTTGATATAAGTGTTGCATAATTCAACTTAAGGTTGCAAAAAGACCTAATAAATATGTTACATAAACATAATAAAAAGTGTTGCATAAAATTGATGCATGGGTGTTGCATTTTACTCAAAAAAGTGTTGCATAACATGTTAAGTAAAGTGTTGCAAATAAGTGTTGCATTTGAGGTATTTATGTAACACTTATGTTTCATGTTGCTTAACATGATGATAAGTGTTGCATATAACATGCAACGAGACCTGATGCAGCACCCATCAAAATGTTGCATTACCCTTTTCGTAACACTTTAGCTATGTAATGCAACAATTTTGATGCGTTACAAAATGTCAATTTTGTTGTAGTGTTACTTTCTTGAAATGAACCTCATATAAACAATAACAAAATAATGCTAGGGTCTGTCCAAGACCATTTGGAAGAGCTATATTTTGGTAAAAGTATAAAGGCTACGAGTATAAAAATCTCAAGCTCCCTGGGGTTCACAGGACAACTGAAACTAGATAGATATTCTAATTTACTATCATACCTCCAAGATACAAGCATGTAAACCTTGTTAATACTTTACCCACTGTTTGAAAGCCCAAAAAGAAGAAGACTAATATCATAAAGAGTAGTTTAGAGAAGAGAATAACAAAATGTAAGAGCAAAATCTTTTAGAGCTCGTTAGTAAGGCTCAAAAAGGCCGAGGTGACTAATACCACTATTAAAAAGTATTTTGATTTAGATAAATTAAAGTGAAAAAATCTAAAAATAAAAGTATAAATATCAATTTCAGCCTAAACAACAACTCAAGCTCTATTTTTTCCTTTTCAGATAGTGTAGTGAAAAAAGCAATGGTGAACTTCTTTCGGGGACGGAGGGAGTATATTTTATTAACAAAGTAATGAAAAAGTTATATGGAAAAAACAGTTAAAGTGGTCCTTTACATTAACATCAATCAATATACCCAGAAAAGTAAATTGAGCCTTACTTTTTTATTATTATTACACAATTCGCAACGTGAAATCAAAAGTTATGTGTTTAATAAAAAGATGATTAATAATCCTGATAAGCAAAAAAAACAGAGTTACCAAATGGGCTCACAGAGAGTACTATATAATGTACGAAGCATATACTCGTCGAGTCCGTGTACCATACAGCCGGTGGTACGATTTGCACTGTAAAGTCAGTGGCATTCAAGTAAGTTAAGTGAAATTCATGACTTCCTCTAAATGAGCACTAATACACATTAATGAGCATTGGATCTATTCTACTGAGTATTGAGAGTCTTATAATAAGTATATCGTGATATCAACTTCATATCTTATAATTCACTTTCTTTTTCTTATATTTTTAAAATATCTACAATGAACCTGTGTGAATCTAATATGTGAATTTAATGTGATAAATATCATACTTTGAAATATGCATGAATATGACATTTTAAGTTGAGTATCACACCAATATCAAATGAGCATACATGAATTACGAAATGAGTATTGAAAAAATATAAAAGCTCATATAAAATCTCTACTATGTTCATAATTTCATTTGTGTATTTTTTTTGGAAGAATTTCATTTGTGTCTGCTCATATCTTTAAAATTTCGTATAGCTTAGGTCTCCTAACCCTAAAAGCGACCATACTCACCAAATTTGAGTAAGAAAAAGAGAAAAAACGAAAACGGTGCAAAGAAATAAAGAGCAAGGAGAGACCGCCAGAGTATACACCGCGAGACCCATCCATATCCTCCGCTGAGAGCTCCATCGTCGCATATCCGTGAGGGGGACAAAGCGACAATGATGAGGAAGCAACGAGTGTGAAGTCCATCATTGAGAGCTCCATCGACACAAATCCGACTGTGCGAGTGAAGCGCTGAGAAACGACGAAATGTGAGAGTAGCGAATAAAGAATCTGATTGTACTATGCGCACGGTACAACCGACCGTATGATACTTCTTACATTTTACATTTTTACCATACTCCCCTGGTGTTAGTTTCTCTTTAAATTTGTTGTTCCTTGACCATTTTAAAATGTTTTTTTAATCAATTGTTCATTTTTCCACTTTAACAAGTTTCACCCTTAAATTTATTATTGTGTGTTTCGTTTTTTCTTTTCTTTGTTTCATGCATGTTTTTTCCACAATTTGACATACTACGTATCATTACTGTCATATTTATTTACAAAAATATGATTTATAATGAATATAGTATAATTTCATAGTCATTTATGTAAAAAAAATGAATATGAATTACTATAAATAAGTTATTACTGCAATCACTACATTAAAATTTCACATTTTCTAAATAACATTTTCTTCTGCAATCATACATTATTATTTATGTAATTAAATAATAATCACTACCCATGTAACCCATTCACACATATATGTATTGACCATAAAAAAAAACAAAGAGAAAAAACTAGTCATTCACCAAACGGGCAAAAGCACACTCTAGTGTTCCAACTAGAGGTGCAAATGAGGCGAGCTGAGCTCAAAAATGAGTATACTTGAACTTTAGCTTGAGCTTGATAAGAATTCACGAGTTCGAACTCGAGCTTGAGCTTGGAAGAGCTAAATATAGTTCAGGTTCGAACTCGAGCCGCTCTCTGCTCGAGCTCGACTTGAGCTTGGGTCGAGTTTTGCTAATTACTACCACCATCTCACTAACATTGAGACATAAATAAGTGACACATTTTTTAAGAAAAGTATGTTAATGTGGTTGATATTGAATTGATAAAGTAAGAATAATTTAGAGTCACACAAACTTTATCAAATTTGGTATGAAACAATCTGTGTGAGACCACAATATGTGTGGTATCAAATGAGACAATCTTAACGGAACGAAGGGAGTAATTTTTATAAGTTTGAACTCGAATAAGATACTGGAGTTGGAGTTCGAATTCGAGCTTAAATAAATTTTCTAATACTTATTTTTTAGTTCATTTTTCCTTCACTACACTTTTATTGCTTATTTTACTATCACTAGATATTACACATAACTATTAGGGAGATTTCAACAACTAAGACCTAATCATACTGATTTTCCAAAATCAAGACTACAAATTAGCATTAAACTTAAGTACATCTGCTTTGATCAAATTACCCTTCCTTTTAAATTCCTCTGTGGCCCACACCAGATCGATTGCACATCAGATCTGTACTTCATTGACACCAGATTGATCGCACACCTGCGCCGCTGATCGACTTCACCGATCAACTGGGCCATCACCATCGCCGCTGATCGGCTTCACCATCGCGACGCACCAAATCCTTGTTCTTCTTCTTCTTCTTCTTCTTCTTCCTCTTCCTCTTCCTCTTCCTCTTCCTCTTCCTCTTCCTCTTCCTCTTCCTCTTCCTCTTCCTCTTCCTCTTCCTCTTCCTCTTCCTCTTATTTTAGTTTCTTAAGTACACGACAATTGAGATATTAGCTGAAGGGGTAAATTTGGAATAATAATTGAGTTTCTTAAAATAGCAGCACATGGGTCACACGGATGGAGGCAACATTAGGCAGTCCTAATTTTGTAAAAGTGCTATGATTTAATACTACCGGCGGCAATTTTCTCTAACTATTATCGATAATGGTTATGATGATAAATATTATTATATTTAGAATTATACTCCCTCTGTCCCGCTAGAAGGTTCCAGTGAACGGTTTACGATGCTTGACTGACGATAAAGCAACTTAATCCCTGTGCACACTCTGATTATTGTTAGTAAATAAAATTTACATATTCAGAAACTACATTAAAACTGCTACAAAGCCTGATCAAAAAATGTAAATTTGATAAAAAATTTGATATATAAAGTAAAAGATTAAAAATGATTTAAGTTGATCGTGTGAATAATGGACGAGAACCTTATAATGGGACGGAGGTAGTAATAGTTATTAATATGATACTAAATGATTATATTAATTACGTAAATAATATATCATATATATATATCATTATTATTTAGGATACATGTTTTAAATACATAAATATTCCTGTCTGACATTGGGGTGGTCCGGCCACCTCAATTTGAGGGGTTCCCGGTGGTATTTTTTGCCCAAATTGTTTGTTATGTTTCTCATCAAGTCTAGTTCATCCATACCAAATTTGAGCAAAAAATTCAATCGGGAAGGCTGTTAAATAATTTTTGCAAGTTCACTGCGTTTTATATGTATATTTCGGGGGCAATTAACTTGCAAAAATCATTTGACGACCCTTCTGATTGAATTTTTTGCTTAATTTTAGTATGGATGAACTAGATTTGATGAGCAACATACACAAAAAAAATTGAACCAAAAATACCATAGGGAACTACCTCAAATTGAGGTGGCCGGACCACCCCTGTCCGGCCTGGCTAGACATGAATACTACTCTTTTAAATATATCAAACTAGTATAGTACCCGTGCATACGCACGGGAAAATAATCGATGGATATACTTGCAATCATGATCTAATTAATTGGAGAAGAAAAGAATTTCAAAAAACTGCATTTCTTCTTAAAAGCAAGAACAACATGTCAATATCATAAAGTGTAAGTTAATAAAATAAATATTAAATAAAATATTAAACTTACGTGTTAAAGATTTTGGAAAACCTCTTTGAATACAACATTCGTAGTAGTGTCTAATGATTTTCCATCCCTATCATGTATTAAAATCTTCAATCCATGTTTGCTCTGAACTCTTGACAATGCCACATACAATTGTCCATGACTAAAAACAGGTCTAGGCAAGTATAATCCAACTCTTTCCAGTGACTGTCCTTGAGATTTATTGATTGTCATCGCATATGAGACCATTATAGGAAATTGTCTTCTTATAAGTTTAAAAGGCCATGGTGATTGAGAAGGAGACATACACATTCGAGGTATGTAAATCTCATCTCCATCATTGCCTTCAGACATGATTCTTGCTCCAATGACATGATTTCCCAGTCTTGTGACAATCAATCTAGTTCCATTACATAGTCCTTCTGACTGGTCTATATTTCTTAGCAACATTACTGGAGTTCCAACCTTAAGTCGTATGTTGTGATTTGGGAGACCTGATGTTCTCAAGGAATTGAGAAACTCTGGTGTCAACGCTTCAAATGCTTCTGCTTCAACTACATCCGACTTGTCTACAGAATCGCAACTTAAATATTCTCTTTCTTCACCTGTAGTTATAAAAGTTCGGTAGTCTTAATTTAATCATTAAGTTTTTTTAAGAATTTATTTTGTAAGTAAATAAGTAAATTAGCTTTTTTATAATATTACCTGGGAGCGTTGAAAGAACATAGTCGTTAATTTTATCGACAATTTCAATAGTTGATGCCAAGACAGCTCTAGACTTAAGAAATTCCTCATTTTTGTATTGCTCCAGCAAGTTCGGATATGTGCTACGGACTATTGCATCTATTGGATCATCAAATTCTTTAATCAAGAATTCATCTGGAATCTTTATTTCTGCATAACCATCGTTTGGCTCTGATATTTTTCCATCTCCCACATCCAATATCCATTTTGAAAATTCTTTGAGCTCAGTAGCACTTGTCATATCCAAATTTTTTTGGAGTCGCATATTTTTAGTAAGAGACAATACCTATCAATAAACAAAAAAAAATACTTATATTTGAATATAACTTATATAGTAATTACTAAAAAAATTTATAAAGTGATTATTTGAAATAGTTAAACAATTAGGGTCTGTTTGCAACAGCTTCTACTTTAAAAAAAGTGTCTTTTTAATGAAATGGGGAGAAGTGATTAAATAAAAGTTGATAACGTTTGAAAAAAAAGTGATTTTGAAAAGTAAAAGTTGATAGTGTTTGGTAAAATAAGTGCTTTTTGTGTAATAGAAAAAGTAAAAGCACTTTTGACACGAAAGCCGGGAAAAATAAAAGTTGTAGTGTTTGGTAAAAGAATTGCTTTTTTAAGGCAAAAGCTGAGAAGTTCTTTTTTTAAAGTGGTTGCAAACCAACCCTTAATATAATTACTTGTACTTTATTTAAACTAAAAGCGAACGAATGAACAATTTTTTTAAAGTTTTTTAGGTTAGTTATTTTGGTATATTGTGGTAAAATGAATTTGTAAATTATAGTAACAGTAAACATATTGGTTGTGGTACTAAAATGGAGTTATTACCTGACAGTCATCCCATAGATATGAAGAATTGATTGTAGCATTAACAATGTCTGAACGGCTTCCTCCAGGAATAACTGGTAAAGTTTGTCTGAAGTCTCCTCCAAAGACAATCACTCTTCCTCCGAATGGTGAAATAGAATCACCATCATTGTTGATGATGTCATTTAGGCTTCTGTCTAGTGCTTCAAAACAAAATCTATTAGCCATTGTTGCTTCATCCCAAATTATCAACTTAGTCTGTTTTAAAAGCTCTGCAAGTTCACTCCCTTGATGTATATTGCATGTAGAGTTCTCTAGAGTCGGAACTGGGATTGAAAATTTAGAGTGTGCAGTTCTACCGCCAGGTAAGAGTAGAGAAGCAATACCACTGGATGCAACAGTTAAAACAATATGACGCTGAGAACGTAAGGCAGAAGCTAATGTCCTCCACATAAAGGTTTTCCCTGTACCACCATAACCATATAAAAAGTATACCCCGCCTTTTTGGTTAGTCACAGCTTCCATTATTGTGTCAAATATGCCTTTTTGTTCATCTGCAATATTAGCATCAAAATATATGCATGAAATCATTTTTCTTTTTGACAGTCAAATTCATTTAATGTGACTTATAAATAATATGAATTGCATTTATCTTACCTGTAAGAGAAGCATACAAAGTTTGGAACTCCTCACGCAACTTGGATGTATCATAATCACGTTCTGCATAAATAAGCCTATTTCCTAGTTGTTCCGTGATATATCCATTTGGATATGGTATTGAGGGATAGTCTTTTAGACTTTTTCTCTTTTTTTGCATCAACTTCTCAATCTCCAGAAGAGTTAAATTTTGCAACTCTTGATCAATTTTGTAATCAGCCTGTTAAATTTGTGTGGTTCGGTTAGAATTATCACACTACAAAAAAACAACGATTTCGGCACAGATTTGACATGGAGCTTTGGCACGGATATGCCAAAATTCGTAGGGTATTTGGCACAGATTTGGCACGAATGCGTTAAATCCGTGCCAAATTCCGTGTCAAAGTCGTTTTGTCACCATCTATTTGGCACGGCGCTGTGCCAAAAATAAGTTACAGTCCGTGCCAAACTCGCCCAATCCGTGCCAAGTCCGTGCCTATTTCGATGTTTTTTTGTAGTGTCAAGCACGAACTTAAATTAAGCACTTCGTAGTAAGTAATCTATCTGTTCGAAATTTTAGGTATTGTTTTGAGATGATTGAAAGAGATATTTTGTTGGATTGTGATCAAAGTGCAACCCTACAGAGTGTATACATAAGATGTTAACCTAACAACTAAGAGTCAAACTTTTTAGTAAGATAAAAAACATAACCTTGAGACCCAAACGTGCACCAGCCATGGTAAAACTTTATCATTTCATTTGTACATCTGAGTCCCTGTCTTTCTTTTGGTTGGCCATGGTTTAATTTTTTGCTGAAAAGAATGGCGAAGTACTGTTTTTTTTTCTCAAGCTGCTGCTGCGGCTAAAGTGGTAAACCCTAGTACAGTACTCCTTTGATTTTTAGTCACTTTTAGAATAAAAGTGAGGCTCGTGTTTTATTAAAGAAGTATGCTAAAATTACGTTTTTAATTACTCTGTATACTGCTTTAAAATTTAGAATAAATCACACGGAGCACTTAATTTAATACGGAGTAGAACATAACAAAGTTGAATTATGTTTTTAATTACTCTGTATATTGCTTTCAAATTTAGAATAAATCACACGGAGCACTTTTAATTTAATATGGAGTAGAACATAACAAAGTTGAATAGTGATGTTTTCTTTTGAACTGTTTTCAGTCCCAGACCAGACCTGATCAGACCAGACCAGACCAGACTTTTGTAGTTATAAAATACACATAGACCAGAAGTTTACCAGAGCAGACCAGACCAGATCAGATCAGACCAGACCAGACCAGACCACCAAATTTCAGTTTAAAAGAAAACATCCTAAAAGCCTGTTTGGTAGCATCAAAATCGGCTGTTTTGACGGATTCTGATAAAATTTATGAAATTTTTGCTGAAGTGGATGTATTGGCTGATTCTGCTGATTTAAGAAAAAATTAATTTTCAAATATATTTTATTAATAAAATAAAGAAAAAATTATATGTAGAAATAACTAAAATGATCATCTACAGTGACTTCAGTCAATACAGCCAGAAAAGTAACTCCAACCTTACTTTTTCTGCTTATTACACAATTCAGTGCGCGAAAGCAAACGTTTCGTGTTTGGTGAAAAAGATGTCCAATAAGCCTGATAAGCCAAAAAACAGTGTTGCCAAACGGTCTTTAAATAAGATGAAAACATATTAGAATTTTTTCTTTTGAAGTAAAATATGTTGGTACTTTTTCATTATTTAATATCTTCTGTTAATAAAGATATGCGTATTACATATTATGTCTTACTTTTATCAAATTTGAGTTTTTCTTTTTTGAACATATGAAATTTGAGTTTGTACGTATTGACACTTTATAGCACTTTTAATGTAGTTTATTAAAATGTACTACCTCCTTACCATTTATATTGGGACGGAAGAGGGTGGCACGGTTATTAAGAAAAGTGGGTTTGTGTGGTTGATATTAATTGATAAAGTAAGAATAGAGTAAGAATGATTTAGAGCCACACAAACTTTGCCAAATATGGTATGAGACAATTTAAGTGAGACTTCTCGAAAAGGTAAAACAGGACAATATAAATGGGACGGAGGGAGTAACTTTTATTTAGTAAAATATATATTATTTTTTATAGGAATTTGTTAACATTATGGTCAATCAAATGTCCCTATAAATCGTGTAGGGACCTTTAAGTGGGACTGAGAGAGGATTACAAAAGGCCAAATTTTTATGATTAGCAACAAAACATCTAAAATTTGGGACATAAATAATTCATATAATTAAGGTGAAATCTAATTGAAAGTATTGTCAACTTTATTTATTTTTATTCACACAATACAGAGCTGTGAGATCAAAAGTTATAAATTGATTGATAAGGTTGATAAACTGAAAAACATTAACACCCAAAACAGGACCTAAACTGGATATATACGTTAAATAATTCTGTCTTTCAGTTACAATACGAACTCTTTGCCTTTTAATCTATGGATCAGTTTTTAAGATCATTTCAGTTGCTCCTGATAAATCCATTTACTCATAGGACTTATTGAACATATATATTGGTGAAAGCCAGAAAGGAATAAAGGTTGTTCAAAATGTAGTCATTATCTTCATAGATCTACTTCAACAAACCCAATTACAATGGACATTAGGGACAAAAAATTACGTGCATATAAGAGGAAAATAATAGATTGAAGAAAGCTAACTGAAATAGTCAAACATATTGAATACTTGAATGAATCTAAGTAATAATAAGACCAGACAAAATGTCTATTGTCCACATCTAATGACATAGAAATGTATCTTTTTCACTTCTTTTTAATGTAAGAAATAATAAGGCATGAGGAGTTGAATATTTTCTGCCAGGAATCACACCGAAATGTAATTATTTCTCCTTTTTAATACGCTTTTCAACCTTAGTTGCTGAAAGTTGTGTGTCTTCATCTGGGGACTGAGAATCGTCACTTTGCATATGTGATGATCTCTTGCAAGGTGTAACAGAAGCCGATGAGCTTTCAGGATCATGATCTGCTGTTGCAGATAAAGATTGCTGCAAAAATATGTCAACAATTATTCTTTATATTCTTTATCAATGCATTAAAATCTAAACTGGAAGATAGATTTCTAGTTTCTTCCGTTAACACTATCATGTTATTAACAGATAATTGGAGTGAACACGTACAATAAATGAATACTTTACCAAATTCACCTTAAAAAGGGTATGCAATATTATTAATGTGAAATTATTTAATAGGTTCCCCCTACTACCTCATCCATGTCAATTTTCCCCAATATAGATTGCATAATGCTCTCATCCTCGGAAACTTTTTGTACAGATGCAGCACTATAGGCTGGTTGCATCTTGATCCTAAATACCAAAGTCCTTCCAAGCAAGTCATCAAGTGTTTCTGGATAAGACAATGGATCTTCCTCACCTTCCTAAGAAAGTAAAATTGTAAAATCATAGAAACGCATTAAAATATATATAAAATGTTATTTGAATATATAAGGGTTTCAAAAAGAGATATATACTTCAATCATTTGGTTTCTGAGCTCATTAGCGGTCTTCCCAAGAAGCTGAATGCATTCTTGATCCCACAGTACAATCTTGACGCAATCTTTTTTATTGTACAGCATGACTTCCAGCCTATACCTGTTTAAAAGTATTTAACATTACTTAAATGGCATACATCTATACTTAGAATAAAAAGGCCAAGAATAAATTAACATACATCTATACTTTAACTTTATTCACAATAATATTTATACGATCTTAAGAGCACCTTATAACAGGCTCATGGTTGTATTTGCCACATCTGCATGTAAATGCGCCATTGGGTGTTTCAGCCTTTCTGGTGCATGAAGAGCAACTTTGATAGCTCCACCCACTTTTTCCAACCACAAACCTTGCAATGGTGCCAACAGTGACACAAGTTGTTTCCTATAGAATATTTAAAACGTCAGTGATATACTGCGGTGTTTTATTAATTTTTAAAATATTAAAACTTTTCAATACCTCTTTAAGGCAATTTATATCAGCAATACTCATAACAACAGCTCTATATGTAAGCTTCTCTTTCTCAGAAAAACTGGAGCCTGAAGTTTGGCTTTGATTTTGACCTTGTGGCTCGTTCACTTGAATTGATTTGAAGCTTTGATAATTTAAACATGGAATTAGAACAGAGTGATATCACTCTAACGGCAATCTTCCATGTCTCCTTTAAGTCATTGATCTCTTCAATTGTGTTTATCTTGCGTGCCATATCGAAGGGGCTAAGAACCCACGAAAAGCTAATAAAAAGAAAACACATTGTATACAACATGATCTGATTATATCTAAAAAAATTAATTAATTTTTAAACATTCCATGGTCAATGACAGAATCAAGAGTGAATGACTATTTTATAATCTAGGGCAGAACACAGATGATACACTATTGCTTTAAAAGATTGAAAGATGATACACAATTGTTATGATGACAAAAAATGACAGAATAATAATGCTTTGCCACTCTAAGGAATCAAATTACTCTTTTGTTATGAAACTATATAAAATGGCACTAAAATTACCCTTTTGTGCTGAAACTAATTAAAAATGGCACTTGAAGATTCATTTTGTTAGGGCAACAACATAGTTGTCACGTTGAAAAAAAGAAGAATCAGTTAACTGAAATATGCTTCCATCTGGTTTACTATGACAATGATAGTCCTTTAGCTATATATATGTGATTATATTTAAAAAAAATTAATCAATTTTGAAACAATCCATGGTCAATGACAGAAAAAGACTATTTACCTATGCTACTTTAATCATTTTATGACAAACTTCAAAGTAGTCCTACTAACAGTGCATTGCATTGTGCACTTACAATATGTGTGAAAACAACTAAAGTGAGCAATTAAACACTATTCACAGATTAACAAAGTGAATCATTTGCTTTTGGTTCAGAGATTCACAAAGTGAGTTATTTCCTGGTGATTTTTAAAAGAATTGACAGAATCAAGAGTGAATGACTATTTTATAATCTAGGGCACAACACAGATGACACACTATTTTTGTAAAAGATTGAAAGATGATACACAATTGTTATGATGACAAAAAGTGACAGAAAAAAATGCTTTGCCACTCTAAGGAATAAAATTACTCTTTTGTTATGAAACTAATTAAAATGGCACTTGAGAATCTATGCTCTATGTCCTTCATAACAAAACATGGATTAGTTCAGAATATATGAACAAAGGGGAGCTTGTTGAGATGGATGAACACAAAAAATGTCAGAATAAAAATGCTCTTGGTTCACAGAATAAAAATGACAGAATTGTCATTTGCTTTTGGTTCACAGATTCACAAAGTGAGTTATTTCCTGCTGAATCAAGAGTGAATGACTATTTTATAATCTAGGGCAGAACACAGATGATACACTATTGCTTTAAAAGATTGAAAGATGATACACAATTGTTATGATGACAAAAAATGACAGAATAATAATGCTTTGTCACTCTAAGGAATAAAATTACTCTTTTGTTATGAAACTATATAAAATGGCACTATGTCCTTTATAACAAAACATGGATTACTTCAGAATATATGAACAAAACCTGGAAGAGAAACACTAAAGCATAGGCTATTTAAACTCTGCACTTTCTAGCAAAAGACTTCTGACTTTATCCTATATCATACTCCTGAGTGTTTCATCCGCTCTTCTAGATTACGCCTAGTAGCACAGCAGTGTCCTGTTTTTTTCCTATTGCCTAAATAAGACTTATCAATCATAATACGATATTAGCCTCTTAAAATTACTGTTCTTACAATATGTGTAAAAACAACTTCAAAATCAGCAGCAAATACCAATTAGATGCAGAGAAAGATGATGGGATGAGAATAGACGGCATACCTGCGTTATTAGAGAGGGTCAATACAGCATAAAACCCTAGTATTCTAATGGTATATATATAGGGATGAATATCTTGTATTGCAGTGATTTGGTGTTTGACGTCTCTCAAAATTGCGGTAATTCCTTGGAAAGGATGCGGGAGATGCGTGTTATACATGGCAAGCTCTAAATCTGTATATCCCAAAAAACTGGCGAGGAATTCTCGGAGAAGAAAGTGGCGTGCGCTGGTGTTTTGGTTTTTTTTGGGCGAGAGATGTATGTATGCGAAGGAGGCGAGTGAATTTTTAATCGGTGTTATACATGGCAAAAGGAATTATCGGTCTGGCGAGGAATTATCGGAGAAGAAAGTGGCGAAGGAGCAGCAGGGGAGTAGATTTTTAATCGCTATTTTTCTTTTCTTGAAAAAGAGAGAGCCACGTGGATCATCGAGAGAAGAAGAGCGAATTGAGGGCTGCAGGACACGTTGGATTTTAGAGGGCAAAAATGTACTTAGCACAGCCTATTCTTTTCTTATATATAAATAGACATATATAATGCGTATAAACACACAAAAAGACTCACGAATCAGCTTGTGGGGCATGAGTCTAAAATAAGTAAACTTGAATCGAACTTGTTAAATGTTCTAGTCAAGTTTGAATAAAATGGAACTCGAGTCTAGTTTTAGTAGGCCTGTACAAAACCGGCCCGGCCCGCCCAGCCCGCCCGCACAAATAGGCGGGCTTGGGCATATATATTTACCCATCGGGCCGGGCCGGGCCCGACCCGCAATAACATATGGGCGGGCTTGGGTTAGGGTGTAGGCCCGTTCGGGCCGATAAGCCCGGCCCGCTACATTTAGTATACATACATTTTTTTAATATATATACTAATTTATTTATTTATTTACATGTACACATGTATATTTATATTTATTAATTTATCTTTATACATATTTATAGTTAATTATATTTAAATTTAACATAGTCAACACATGCTCAATACCACTGGACCAACTCATTTTCTTAAATGTTTAGTTCTTAACAACTAGCCCAGCCAAGATAATATCTACTTTTGTACTTAAAGATGGTACTTTGTGCTTGAATTTTTAAATTTTAGCTATAGTTTCTCATTATATTTTTTGTGCAAGTATCTTTATACATATTTATAGTTAATTATGTTTAAATTTAAGTTTTTAGTTTTTAATAACTAGTCCAACCAATATAATATACGTAGTATGTAGTATATTTTAGTACTTAAAGATAATACATTGTGTTTGAATTTTAAATTTTAGATATAGTTTCTCATTATATTTTTGTGTACGAGGTGACAGGCCTAAAAACATTATAAACGTATTAGTAATTTTTTAAATGTTGTAATACTATTTATAAAGTATTAAAAAATTATATAATTTTTTTAAAAAATAAAGTTTTCCCGGGCCGGGCGGCCCGGTGGACTACCCGGCCCGCTCTAATGGGCGGGTATGGACATGGGGTTAGACCCGTTTTTGGGGGCCGGGCCGGGCCCGCCCACCATGATGGGCAGAAAATTTATAAAAAGCCCGGCCCGAGCCCGGCCCGAACCGGTTTTTGTACAGGTATAAGTTTTAGTGATCCACGAGCTCATTTAAGCTAGTTCCAACCCGTACAGCCCAGTGGCATCCTACGGAGAGTTGAACAGTCGGTATAGGTGTACTTATTTTGAAGGCATTCCTTCAATTGTAGATTCGTATAGTACTGACAAGGGTTTAAGTCCGAAATCGGACGAGGTCAACAGAGCAACAAAGAGCAGTGCTTTACCAGGGAATTCGAGATGGGGGAAGGAAAGCAGCAAATTGTGGCAGTTCAATTCCCTACCCAGAACCCTATTGAGCAGTTTCAGGCTAAGTTCAAGGAAATCCAGGACATATGTAAGTGTTGGCTAGCCAAGCAATCCTTACCGGTTGAAGCCGCAGTCGTCACCGCCACCAGCGCCGTCCAAGGTGCTTTTCTCGGCTCTCTTCTCGGCACATTCTCGGCGGACCTCTCTAGCTCCATGCCCACCCCTCATCCCGGACTCAGCATGGATCCTAAAGCCACAAACGCACTTAAACAAGCTCAGGTCCAATTACTTTTCATTATTCCGCTGTCTTTGAAAACAAATATACCAGTACCACTTACACAAAATGTAAATATTGAAAAATTATATCTTTGGGCTGCATATTAGAAAACATACAATATATCTTTGTACTACATATTAGAACACACACACACACACACACTTTATATATGTCTAGTATTTGAGTGGTATACACGTTCAGGAGTATATTTATACTTTTTTGTTTAATTGTTCTGAATAAAGTTGTGGCCATATGTGTTCTTTGTCATATACGAAGTACATCTGTTCTTAGTTTATGTGTTTTGTGTGGAACAATGTGTGGGTGATTTTGTTCTTAGTTTCCTTTTAGGCAAGTCTTAGCAGGTAACTTGGAACCTCAAAGACCCATTCAGTTAATGTTATGTAGGAACTAGGGAGTAATTGATTTTGTTTTCAAATTAGTATAATGTGAAAGTCCCTTTTCAGGCACTCTCAGGTGGCCCCTTGATCCAAGCCAGAAACTTTGCAGTTATGACAGGGGTAAATGCAGGAATTTCTTGCGTCATGAAACGATTGAGAGGCAAAGAAGATATCGAGTCAAGGTGATTTTCCTTACATTTCTATTTTCTTTACGTGTCACCTGATGAGCCCACTAAGGAAGCAATAGTGAAGCAATCGCAATTACGGACACTAAGGAATTATTGCATACTTGTACCTGCTACCTTGCTAGTGTTTGCTAAAATGAAGATATGTTTCTGGTAATACTAAATCCCAAACAGCTAATTTCGTACCCTCTAAGCACACATCTCAGCACTTAATTTTAAGCAAAATATATACTCATACATTACTTTTATTTTGTAAAACTACACTCGTTAATCAACTGCAGAAAAATATGTCAAAAATTGGTTATAATGTATCCAAATTAGGCTGATTTAACATCCTACACTGATTTTTATGGCAGTGTCTACAGTCACAATGGTTTTTTCACTTCTTGCTTCTTTAGTGAAACTTGGGATGCGTTGTTTGGAGTTGATAAGCATGGGGTTCTAAGTTTCTAACTATTTCTTTTCTCTTCCACAGTTCCATGGGTTATTCTGGATGTTTGTCATTCAAGTTTTATTCAGCGTTCTTTAATTTTCTGCTCCCCTTTGGCTTTCTTTTGTCACAAAGTGTCAAAGTGTACATCTGACAAGCATTATATCTCATAATTACAGTATGGTGGCTGCATTTGGTTCTGGAGTGATGTTTTCTTTAGTAAGTGGTGTGAGTGGTGGCCAGAATCCCCTAGTTGGTGCTTTACAAAATGGCTTTTTCTTTGCAGTTGTCCAAGGTGCACTTTTCAAGGTATATGTCTTTTTTGTAAATGATTCTTTCCACTCTTGTGAACTATCCATTGCATTGCTTGTGGTTGAACTGTTGAAGAAGACCGCACTATCCTGCAAGTATGGTATTTTTAATGGAGGGGAGTGATGTGACTCTTTTTTTGCCACAAAGGCTTTAGTAGACATCCCTGTGCAGAGGAAAGAATCCTTGAATGATTTCTCAGGTTCAAGAAATCAATGGCTTCAATAATCAAGTAATAAGTCATCAATGTAGCCATGTAGGTGGAAAAGTAACCATGGAGGAACATTTATTATGTTAATAACAGGTTAAAACCATCTTCATAGGAACATTTACATATTCACGCATTATATTATATTCAAAATGGATGCTTATCACGCTTCAAGTTTTTTTTATTGACTAAAGCTTCCATGGGAATGTGATACTTTTTAATTCACACACTAAAACTCACTACCTCTTTAAAAAATGAGTCCTATTTAACCAATGTACAATGTTTTACCTTTAGTAAGGTGCCACTTTTCTAGATCATGTAGCATACATATATTTTCTTTTTAATCAGATTCCATAAAAAAATTAGCATAATTAGATAAAACTGGATCCTTTGTTGGGAAAAAGTTAGTAACAAGCCTTTTATTTGGGACAGAGTGAGCAATCCAAATGTTTCTTTCGTTTGTTTGGAGGTGGATTGTAGTTATTGCTGCATTTAAGTATATAACAACACTTCATGTGGCAATATGAAATCACTATTGATTTACAAGATTTTGGTTGTTAACGTTCATTTGGCTGGTGCAGGTAGGACAAAACTTTTCAAAGCCACCTGTAGAAGATATTTACTATACCAAGACTAGATCACTGTTGTCTAGCATTGGACTCGAGAAATACGAGAAAAACTTCAAGAAGGGTTTGCTGACGGACGTCACTCTACCTTTACTCAACGAAAGGTTAGTGTTAACTTTCATACTTTAATTATGTAGAGTCTCACATTGGTTCATCTCCTCAATTGGAATCTGGTATACAAGTTATCATCATCATTACCCCAGTGCCGCAAAGGCTCGAACTTTTGATGGGGTAAGGGATTGAATGTACACAATCTTATTACTAAAGCACACAGAGACTGTTTCCGGATGACTCATAGAATGTGCCGAAAATTGTATGGACTGACTTCTCTTTCATAACAAAGAAGTGCAGACAGTTTATTGAGCCGTTATTTTTATTCCATCATATTCCCGTAAAAAAAATAATCAGTCTTTGGCTCCATTGCAAATGATGAACTTGTTGGAATCTAGTACACAAGCATGAGGTAAAAATCATCTCTAAGGGATCCTTTTGGACGTGTTAGACCCAATTTGACACTGTCTTATAGTCTAGTCTGATGGTTGTTGGCTTATTTGGCCCATTTGTGCACTCCTTGAGTTGTGTAGTCCAACTCTGTCCAAGGGCGATGTGTTGAATGCCTCACACTGGTTATTTAACATGCTTGTAATCCTTGTATCTAGTATAGAAGTTTAAGGTATATATGCTCACAAGGATCCTTTTGTGCGACTGTTTCAGTGCGCTTCGGGATGTGAATATTCCTCCAGGACCAAGGCTTCTTATTCTCGACCAAATACAGAGGTTGTTCTATAATGCTGTGTTTTATTGACATTACATTAAAACTTCACTCATATTTTTTGTTTTTGTTTTTGTTTTTGCTTCTTGTAGGGATCAGAATCTTAAAGAGAAAAAAAGATTCAGCTAGTGAGTGATGGCGTACTTTTCTAATGAACGACCTTGAGTTTGTATTATTGTATTACTTCTATTCATTATTTATGTCTGAAGATCGCAGGCACTTTTGTAATGGTTCATTTCACAATGCCCGGATGGCCGGATCCCTTCTCAGTTCTGCAAGACTTTTTCCAGACTTTTTCCTTCATTTAATAATGCTGGCGTTTTTTCTATTCCAAATATTTCTTTCATGCTCGACATATGCTTTCAATCTTTCTTTCGTGTATGCTTTGAAGAAATTGGGCACATCTTAGTGTAGGTATGGATGGACTGGCGGCCTAGCACGGTGCAGGCCCGACCCGGCTCGGTGAGCCGGGACTGGGGCCCGAACCGGCAGACTCAACAAGTGGACTACAGGATCCAAAAAATGGTGGACCAGCCGTGCCGGGTCTGGGCCCAATTCATATAATAAAGACTCTTACTCAATGTCATATAATATGAAATGTCGGGAATTCTAAAGTCGAGGATCAAAAGTTTGTCACTCTAAAAAAATTGACCAATTTGTCACTAGGTTTTTTTTACCAATTTGTCTCAAATGGTTTTTTTTACCAATCTGTCCAACAGCCCTCTTTTTTTTTTTACCAATTTGGTAATTTGGCCTGCATATATGTATAAAAGCTTCCTAACACCGATCATATAAAAAGTATTCCCCGGGTGGCTGCACAAATGGAAGATCATGAGGGATCGAGCTTAACAAATTTATATTACTACCTCCGTCCCAAAAAGAGTTGCAAATTTAACTTTTCTTAGTCAAATGGTCTCATTTTGTTCACTTAATTAGGAAGCCAATTTTTAATTATGTTCAAATTTGGAGTTTACAACTTTGAAGAAATTGTAATGTAGTTTTTGAATATGTAAATTTTAATTATTAAAAATTGAATTAGTTATCCATACGGAGGGTTGACTTTTATATATTATTGATTGACCAAAAATTGTTGACTTTGCAAAACAAATTGGGATGGAGGGGGTATAAAAGTTAAAAGTTTAAAATTTTACTGTATATTTATAGCCTATAAATATTCATACATATATGTATGGGAAAGTTCTCGAAACAGGACTAAAACGAAAATGCCAAAATAGGACTGTCATGTTTTTTATTCCCAAAATATGAGTAATTACTGCCAAGTTTGGAAAATACTGCCGTGTTTGGAAAATACTACCAAAACATGACAGTAATTAGTCCTATTTTGGGAATAAAAACATGGCGGTCCTATTTTGGAATTTTCAAACCACTTTAGTCCTATTTCGGGTAATATTCTCCAATCCAATTTTTTGAGGCTGAGGCCCCCTCACACCCAATCCGCAAATTCCTTTGTGCTTCACATGCTACACGCACAACTAGGGGTGGGCACGGTCCGGGTCGGTTCGGGTAATCGATAAATTTTCAAGAACCGTCGGTTCCATTTAGCGGGTAGATTCGGTCCGGGTATACCATTTTTCAAAATAGGAACCGAACCTTACCCGCCCCGTTTGAAACGGGCCGGTTCGGTCCGAGTCCTCTGTTTTTTTTTGTTCAAAAAACGACTATGCAAGCAAAGTTTCTAGTAAGTTATAAAATTTTCAAATTTATTACATATTAATGTAACCATAATATAGTATTTATTCAAAATATAAGAATAAGACAACATATTGAATTAGTTAATAAATATCGAACCACAAATCTATAAATTCAACAACACACAATCAACTTAATTGAAATGGTAATCATCATTCATAAACCCATTAAAAAGATAGGACCACAAATTCATAAGAAAAAACTAGTTATTATACATATTTGTCTATGAAAACCAGTTAAATCTTGTCAAATCTCCAAGTACAAGTAAAATTAAGACAATTAAATTAATATGTCACACATTGAGTAAGAGTCTTTGTTTACAAAAAAAATATTAAATAAAGAAAGTTTGATGCATTTGGAATAGAGAATAGAGGAAAATAGTTTAGGAGTTTAATTATATGAACTTGGAAACTAGTTTTAATAGACTGAGAAATTTCTTTAATTGGAAGTCTTTGTCTAAACACAAGAGCATGAAGAGCTTTCGTGTATTGTTAGTATACTATATTATACTAGTATTAAATACTTTAGAGATTATTAAAATAATATTTTAAAACGGTTCGGTCCGGGTACTCGTTTTTTCAAATTTTAAGACCTGTTCGGTTCCTAAGTTTTTCAGGACCCGCCCCACCCCGAACCGTTTGGATATTCTAACATTATGACCCGACCCTAACCCGTCCCGAACCTGTATTACACGTCCCGACCCGCGGTTCCAGTACCCATTTGCCCACCCCTATGCATAACCACTCACGATACATACGACATTTGGAAAATTCGGAACTTACCCCATATATTATCTGACTTTTTGTGAGGATACGCTATTCCTAAACGGAGAACAATCCACATGCAGTGAAAAGTGAAAAGTCTTGGTCTCGCGAAAGCTGGAGCCATAGCCCATAGCTCTTAAATGAATCAAAATGATACCTTAAATTTACATAAATGTTTCGAATTGAGATTTTATTCAAATTTTCGACCAAAAAATCACACGTGGCGGCTAGAATTCTATGCATAAAGTCTACTTCACCTTATTTTTGTCCATATGATCACTATAGAGTGACTCTACACATGGAATTTTGATCGTCATGAAGGATATTTTGGTCAAAAATTTGAATAAAATCTCAATTCGAAACATTTTGTATAATTAATTAAGGTACCGTTTGATTCATTTAAGAGTTAAGGTACCAAACTGCAACATTATATTACTAATAGTTAAGGTACCATTTATGCATTTGACCCGTGTATGCACTCACGGGGATTTCACACCTCTTGGTCAAAGCTTAGTCGAGAAAAAAGTTTCATATAGATTTAGCATGCTACGTCCTAATTAAATTTGAGGATATTACTCTTTCATAAAGAACATCAAATTTGGAGTCCACGGGAAGCACTAAAATTACTATGTGTTCATCTATTTCTATTTAATAGGTGATGTTAGGATTACAATGACAGAATATGATGGACGAGTTTTTTTTTTTGAAGATATGATGCACGAGTTAATTATGAAAAAAGCCACATCTATATTAGGGGTGGGCACCAGGGACGGAGCCAGAGTACTGTATCGGACTGGGCCGGTACAAATAATATGTTTGGAAACAAAATTACACAGAATTTTTTACACTAAGAATATAGACATTTTTTAAAATTTGGTCTGGGTCAAGGCTGGCCCTCCCCTAGCTATCCCTCTAATGGGCACGATCCAGGACCGGACTAGATTTGGATGATCTCGATACCTGTCCCAGTTTAGACTAACGGTTGAAAATAGGATAGGATAAAACATTGTCTAATTTTTAACAAGTACCGAAATATTCAAATATATTGGAACGATTGTGACACCCTGAAAAGATCAACAAAAAAACTGCTACATATTGTGGTTCAGATGATCATTGATACAAGAACGTTGTGTGAAGGATTCCTCGATAAGCTTCTATCGGTGCGCCGACATGAGAGAACTATAAACGTGTTGAGAATTGGAGTTTTGGTACAATTCACATTGCTTTGGTGATAGATAGAAAATAGGCCCAGAGGTACTTAGGTCTTACAATTACCACTTGGTCACTTAGAATAAAAACTGCCCCATAAATGATGCTCGTATAGAGGTTAGAAATTATCGATAGCATTTATCAAGCTGCCATTTAGTACTTACCGGTGCGAATTTGTGTTGCGAAAACAAAAATACTACTACTATTACTTGAAAGCCAAATAACTGAACATAATGTGATATATCTGTCTCGCGATTTTATTTTGAAATGATTTGGGATCGGTACCGGACAAATAATTTGTCCCGATCAGTCGGCGGGACAAATTATTCAAGATTACAACACAACAATCTCAGAACAGAACCCAATGTGACACGGTCTTTTACACACCCCTTATCCAAGATATACCTCATGTCTCTAACTTCATCACTTCTTTTTTTTACTTCGTATCTTCTAAAATAACTTTAGATTTTCTGTGCTAAGTAATTAACTTGTGATTCTTAATTTTTCTTCATGACTACTTTCCCTCTAATCGACCGGGTAGTGTAACCACTAAGGTTCATCGTAAGCACTCTCAAAATCCCCGGGCTAGCTTCATCGCTTTCCCTGGCCTCTTTTATTGTATTTGATTTTATCCCCAACGAAAATAAGGAGGCATTGAGCAGCGATTGAACTGAACGTTCCAAGTGCATCCAGCAGGAATCGAACCTACGAATTTGCCCCTTTATTAGGTTGGGCGCTTTCACCATTCAGCCATGGATGCATGGAGACTAAGCGAGTGAACTAGGCTTGGATATTTGCTTCTCTATTTCTTCTGTAAAAGAAGATTAGGGGTGGATTCGGTTCAAACGGCTCGGTTTTCACCTAAAACCAAATGTCGAACCAAAGTAAAATGTTCAGTTCGGTTCGGTTTGGTTTTATGTTCAAAAACTTGGAACCACGGTTTATTCGGTTCGGTTTCGGTTTTTTCGGTTTTCTCCAAAATAGTAATTGAAAAAAATTATGATTAATAGTAATACAATACAAAAACATAATTAAGAAGGACAGATGAAACACATGCACCTACAATCAATGAATTGAAGAGTACGTGTATACCAATTTAAACATTTTCTAAATTAATTAAACGCATGAGTTTATTTGTAAATTATGTAGTCTATTTGCAAGTCAAAATTTCATGTAAATGTTGTGTCCACTAATTCATTTTCTTTTTAACTAAAAGACTTTTCTTAATAGTAAATAACCTGTTCTACTTTCTTTTTATACAAAGTTATTTATGCTCTAAAGTTTCACGTTTTTAGCTATGTTGTTTAAAGTACAATTTATATTAATACATATTTGTTCAATATAAAAATTATGTGATAACAAACATACATAACAAGAACAAATAATTTATCAAAAAATATATCATTGTCTTGCAACAACAAGTAAAATATAAATTACGATTTAAAGTATCAACATATTAGTATTATAGCAATAGACTTAAGTGTATATACAAGTGTTTCACTTAATTAAACCATAAATATTAAATATCAATATCATGCAAATCATAATAAATCTAGTATCAAACATTATTTTCCTAGAATTAAGAATTTAGAACTAAACAACATATTATACTTAATGATGATTAATAAATAAAATAGCAAGTTTAAAAATGTCCGGTTTGTTCGATGCGATTTGGTTTTGAGATGCGAAAACCAAAACTGAAACCAAACAACTACGGTTCGGTTCGGTTTTTTTAGTTCGGTTTCGATTTTCTTGCGCTTCGATTGTTTTGGTTGCGATTCAGGTTTTTTCGATTCGGTTTTCGGTTTTTGGGTTCCCCGACCCACCCCTATAGGAGATTCTAGAAAAGATGGAATAGGAAGACGTGTTTCCAGAACGAAAAAGATATGAGTTGAGAAGGGGGAGTTAGCAAAGTTAGACAAGATTGGAATGTGCATAAGAACATGTATTGA